ATGTGAGTGTGCTTGGTTGTCTGTCTCTAAGTGTGGCCCTGTGATAGACTGGCGACCTGTCCAGGGTGTCTCCTGCCTTCGCCCTAAGTCGGCTGGGATAGGCTCCAGCCCCCCCGCGACCCTAGACCCTAGTCGTCAGCGTTTGTTTTTTCTGTTGGAGTGCACCGGAAGGAAAAGGCAGAGACGGAGGCAATACAGTTTCATACCGTAGCTGTAAGCGTATGTTCGGCAGTGTCAGCCAAGCTTGGTAGTTGTTCAGCTGTTTACTTGGATCACTCCTGTAAAAGATCGCCTGTGGAATCCAAATAAATTTTCATTTGACGTCTTTTGATATTAGAGTACTGTGGAGTTCTTCACGGCTAACAACTTAGCTGCTTCAGCACGAGTGACGCAAACAACGTCTCGCCAGCTATCGGCCCTAATACACACACACGTCCAAATACGGGTGTATCGTGCAAATAGCGAGTAAGATCATTCGCGCGAATGATTTACATGAAAAGTCAATGTGAAGATGCGATTGACACGAATTGAACGAGTTTGACGCGCATTTGACGCGTCTGAAGAGCAAGTTGAAAAATCGGAACTTTTGCGAGCTGACGCGCCACGATGGCCAATCAGTGTTGAGATTCTCTGGTGACATTACGAACATGATTCATTCATTTTTTTGCAACTAGACTGTGAATACTGATTGATTTACTCATCCCAGGAGAAAAGCAGTTACATTACTGGCCAAGGCAGATCTCAGTGCTCAGCAGATGGGCTGTCCCTCTTCTCCCATTCACACACAACAATGCTACTCTTCATCTTAGCAAGCTAGCAAGCCGAGTTGCTAGCTATCGTAATGCTCACGGGATAAACCTCCGCTGGCTCCTCGTCGCTGGGGTGAGCTTACTCCTGCTGGCAGCCACTCGCCCGTGTTGTTGTATGTGGCACTGAAAAAACATCGCTCTATCTCAGCGAGCGCCTGTAGTTAGTATCCTGGAGGGATATTCTGGTACCGATCCTCTCCAACAGGTAGTCAAACTGGGTCCAGATCAGCCGAAAACAGCACTGGAAGCGGCCGTCATCCAGGCGCAACTCCTGGAGAAGGTGGGGGAATTCCCCGAGCTGTGTGTGTCACTGGGGAGCCCATGGATCCAGCCTCTGGATCGCGTCACTGGCGCCAGTGACTTGAATTCAGACACAAATCTTGACACGCGATTGACGCAATTTATACGCGCGAATGAAGCAAGTAAATTCAGTGTACGCACGCGTCCAAATACGCGCGTAACGTGCAAATAGCGCGATGACTTCGCGTCTGGTGTGAACACAGCATTATGCTCACCAGTTCTCTGAGTCTGACCAACTCCCTGTACAACTGCCAGCTCATAGGGCCATATTCTCCTCGTTCTCCCCTCTGACTGAGGAGGAAGTCTCCAAGCTATTGCTGGACTCCTGTCCTACTACCTGTCCACTGGACCGATACCATTCAACCTCCTACAAGCCATTTCCATTGGCTGCTTTTAAGTTAGCTATAGTCACTCCAAAAACACTACACTCGACCCAGCCCAGGTTGAAAACTACAGTTTCACTCCTGTCCTTCCTGTTTAAAATACTTGAGCGAACTTTCTTCAACCAAGTCTCTGCTTTCCTCTGTGTCAACAACCTCCATCCATCCATTTTCTATACACCGCTTAATCCTCATTAGGGTCGCGGGGGGGCTGGAGCCTATCCCAGCTGACTCAGGGCGAAGGCAGGGGACACCCTGGACAGGTCGCCAGTCCATCGCAGGGCCACACTTAGAGACAGACAACCAAGCACAGTCACACCTATGGACAATTTAGAATCACCTCAACATGTTTTTGGACTGTGTGGGAGGAAGCCGGAGAACCCGGAGAGAACCCACGCTGCACGGGGAGAACATGCAAACTCCACGCAGAAAGATTCCGGTGCCCCCACCGGGACGCGAACCGGCAACCTTCTTGCTGCGAGGCAACAGTGCTACCAACTGCGCCACCTTGCAACAACCTGTATGACTCATATCAGTTTGATTTTAAATGGGGTCACTCGACTGAGACTGCACTCCTATCTGTAACAGAATCACTGCGTTCTGCTAGAG